TAAACAGTCATTGGTATCTATATTAACACCAGTGCCAATTTTATAACGGTTCTTAATGAAAAGGTAGACGCTAATGCATACAAGCTCTCTTGGTCTTACTGGAGAGGTACAGTAGTTTTCTTTCTCCTTCTTAATGTAATGCTTTATCCCGCTTCTAGTTTTGGGATAAGAGAAAGAGGGAATTTTGTTCTGAGTGGTGGGATGGATCAACTTCTGCATAGCTCCTGATTGGATACCTGTGAACCAGTCCTTTGGGCCCCAGGAAGTGGTTTCTTCTTGGCATCCCCTGATAGTTGTGCAGAAATGCTGTTTTTTTATCTATGGAGCTTTCTTATGAGACAGGAAATAGAAATCCTTTTTTTCTTTCTTTCTTCTTTTTTTTTTTTTTTTTTTTTGGAGAAGTGGAGACCTGTTTTGCGCTTCAGAGACTCTTAATGCTTTAAAGCAGTGGTTCCCAAACCTGGGACGTTTGTTCAGCGAAAGCCCCTTGTGGGCCCGGCCAGTTTGTTTACCTGCCACGTCCACAGGTTCAGCCGATCACGGCTCCCACTGGCTGCAGTTCGCTATGCCCGGCCCATGGGGGCTGCGGGAAGTGGCACGGGCCAAGGGACGTACTTTGCTGCAGCCCCCACAGTTCCTTTTCAGTTATTGCTAGAGGGAGGTTACTTCTCTAGACACTCTATCCTGTTTCTTTACTAGAATTTATCCATGTAGCTTCTTGTCATTGGGGGTGATTTTAATGGCATAATGTTAACTTCATTGTATCGGTTTTATAGGTGGGGAGACTAAGGTACAGTGAGGTACATGACATGCCCAAGTTCACAAAGACTTAGTGATTCGCTCAAGACATAGGTCTGTGCACAGCTGGGAATATCATCCAGCGTTCCTGGCTCTCAGGGGTCAGACCATATGACTGGAGAATTGCTAATATAGTCTCTATTTTTAAGAAGGAGGGTGGGGAAGTGTTCCAGAAAACGACAGGACTGTTAGCTTGACTTCAATTTTATGCAAGGTCTTGGAACAAAATTTTGAAAGCAAAAGTAGTTAATGACATAGAAGTAAATGGTAATTGCGATAAAAAAATAACATGGCTTTACAAAAGGTAGATCATGCAAGACCAACATGATCTGCTTTGAGAAGAGAACTGATTTTTTAGACAAAAGAAATAAAGTAGATCGAATATATCTGGATTTCAGTAAGGGATTTGATACAGGCACTTATTAGTTAAACTGGAGAAGAGGGGGATTAATATGAGAATTGAAAGCTGGAAAAGGAACCTGTTAAAGGAGAAACTACAGTGGGTCATACTGAAAGGTGAATGGTTAGGCTGGAGAGGAGTTATTAGTGGAGTTCCTCTGGGATCAGTCTTGGGACCAATCTTATTTAACATATTTATTAACGAGCAGGGCCGGCTCTAGGTTTTTTGCAGCCCCAAGCGGAATGCCGCCGAAGCAACAACAGAAAAAAAAGGGGGGGGCTCGGAATGCCGCCCTTTGAAAAGTGCCACCCCAATCACATGCTTGGTTTGCTGGTGCCTAGCTCCGGCCCTGTTAATGAGCTTGGCATAGAAAGTGGGAGTCTGCTAATAAAATTTGCAGATGACACAAAATTGGGAGGTATTGCCAGTATGGAGGAGGACTGGAGTATCATACAAGATGATCTGGATGACCTTGAAAACTGGAGTAATAAAAATGGGATGAAATTTAATAGTGCAAAGTGCAAGGTCATGCACTTAGAGACTAATAAGAATTTTTGCTATAAGCTGGTGACTCAACAGTTGGAAGTGACAGAGGAGGAGAAAGACCTGGGGGTATTGGTTCATCACAGGATGATTACGAGCTGCCAATGTGATGCAGCCATGAAAAAGGCTAATGCAGTTCTAGGATGTATCAGGCGAGGTACTTCCAGTGAAGACACGGAAGTGTTAGAACCATTATATAAGGCACTAGTGAGACCTCATTTGGAATACTGTGTGCTGTTTTGGTCTCCCATGTTTAAGAAAGATTAATTCAAACTGGAACAGGTGCAAAGAAGGGCTACTAGGATGATCTGAGGAATGAAAAACCTACCTTCAGAGAGGAAATTCAAAGAGTTTGGCTTGTTTGGCCTAACCAAAAGAAGGCTGGGGGGAGATGCATTGCTCTCTATAAATACATCAGAGGGATAAATACCTCCGAGGGAAAGGAGTTATTTAAGGTAAGCGCTAATGTATACCCAAGAACAAATGGATATAAACTGTCCATCAACCAGTTTATATTCCCATCATCACAGCATCTGGGCATATGACAAATTAAAACCAAGCAACATATTCTATTAAACTGCCATAATAGAACAAACATCCCACTTACAACACTACTAATGTCACCAGTATAAGATAACCTCTTGTGTCAAACAAATGCCTGTTCAGAAGCCATGGTTGAGCTCTTCCCTAAAGGCTGCATGTAGCAAGGGACAGCTGCCAATACAGTGTCACAGGGCCATTAGGTAGATGGGTCTTCCACTGATCCCCCTGAACCCATACAGATCCTTGGGGCTCTATTGCCTGGGAAAAGGTAGGCACAAACACCATCCTCTCTAGCAGAGCAACTGGAATGAAAACTGTACCATGAGAACCTTCTGGAGATTTCCTCCACTTTAGCCCTCCTGTTGTGGGTTGTCCCCAGAGGAATGGTGAACCAGCCCTAAATTCCCATTGCAAATTGAGCCATTCTGACAAAGGGAAGCTAGTAAGTTCTGAATATCCAAAAGGCAATATAAGTAGCAGTAATATAAAGCCTCCAGTCCTATAGTAATTAACACTGAAAGGATCATATTGCTAAAATTGCTTGACCGCATAAACATGCTTCTATTTTAAAAAAAAAAAAAAAAGATAAGATCAACAGCAAATCAGGCTCATCCTAGGCACCAACCCAGAAACAGGTCCTAGCAGCATGATCTTCAGTTACACAACCTACTGCTACCTAGCAAATGTATAACGGTAAAACCCAGACACCTACTCCTTCCAGTCTATGTACCAGTCCTCCTTGAGCATTGCTGCTTCGCACCCCTGTCCTTCTTGCAACTACGAATGAGATAAATGGGTTGATGTGATCTAACCTCCTGCACATTTTCCAAGGGTCAGGCATTCAAAAGTTTCCTGTTACTTTAGTTAAGATGTCCTTTAATGGAAGTTAGCAAGTTGCAAGAGAATAGGAATGAGCTTATTGGCTAACACAATAATTGTAGGTTTCAGAGTAACACCCATGTTAGTCTGTATTCGCAAAAAGAAAAGGAGTACTTGTGGCACCTTAGAGACTAACCAATTTATTTGAGCATAAGCTTTCGTGAGCTACAGCTCACTTCATCGGATGCATACTGTGGAAAATACAGAAGATTGTAATTTAAAACTTTTAACAGCTGCACTGCTACTATGAAGAAAATGGCCAGTCTGGCTCCCAAAGTCAATAGTGACTTTACCACTGAATTCAAAGGGAGCAGAATTGTGTCCACTGGAAGGAAGAGACAGAGGACAAAGAATCAGAGCGTATATGAAAGAAAGAGCGAGAGCACACAAATTACATATAGTAAATAATGGGCATAAAGTAAGCCAAACACCACGGCCTAGATCCTCAGGGGCACCAGAGCAGTGCTTGGCATGACAGAGTAGGGAAGGGACATCTGTGGCTTTTTACATTTTACCCTACCTTTCTACCATCATTCTCAATTCTTTCTGGCGATGGCAAAATGGCCACAGGTGCAAGTCAGAGCAGCCTCAGTGATCACTTGTCTTACCCCAACGGATGATGTCTACTTTGGAGCCTCTCCAGCAGCCAGGGTCACTGGAGAACACGGGGCTCCTACTGTGCCCCTCCCATCCCAAGTACAATCTGGAACACTCCTACACTGGGTGGCAAAGGGCTGACTATGTCATCCCAATCCTGAGCTGCTGTCTTTACCCAGGTGGAAGTCACCTTTGTGCTGCTGCAGTGGCACGAAGGAGACTGACTTAATAGGGGCTGAGGATCCGGCCCCATTGCTGTATCTAGATTGCCCACAAAAGGTAGACAGCTGATGAGGTTAGTGCCTCATCCTCTACCACACTGGCTAGCAGAGCTGACAGGCTCAAAACAGGATATAATTCTGCACTCTCTTTACATGAGTAATAGTGAGTGCATCCCTGAAAATTGGGAGCTCTAAAAAGTATTTTCTCTTATTGAGGCTGAATTCATACTACAGCTCTCACTTAAACAGTACCCTTCTAGAACTACACTAATGCAGGCCAGTGACTCATGGGCACATATGAGCTCTTTGTGATTAATTATGCATAACACATTTCTTTGCATTTAACTCTTTAGATTTCTTTAATGAAAAAGAAAAAAACAACTTCACTTGTTTAAACTACTTGCTACTCATCTAGGACTTGATCCAAAGCCCATTACATGAATTAGGCACTTATTCAGCCAGTAGAACTAGTAAACTCCTTTACATCTCAATCCTACAAACACTTACATGCATGCTTAACTTCATGTAGGTGAATAATTAGGACTACATGCATGCAGAAAGTCAAGCATGCACAAAAGTGCTTGAAGGATTTGAGCCTTAAAGAGCTGCACACAGAGGTGCTATGCATTTATGTTTAAATGATGGCCTGAAGGCTTAAGGAGATTTTCTATTAAATTTTCTAATAACTATAATTTTCTTAAATCAAAACATATGTTTTTCACACTAGGCAAAGGCCCCTTTGAATATATAATCTTCACTGGGCAAATATAAAACCTCAGCCATTTTTGATAAAGTCATGTTCAAAATAACTTTGTTCAATATTGTTCAAATTACACAGAGAGAGGAAAAAGAGAAAAAATTCGGCAGAAACCAAGCATGGAAAATATGGGACCAAAAAGTTTTGAATATATCAAGAACTGGATATTAGAATTGCAACTATTGTGCCACTTTATAACAGGAACTGCCACTGACTGCTACAGTCATGTGTAAACATAACGTTTTGTTCAGAAACCACTCACCTGATCTCGAGAATATGGAGTATCCACTATCTGCTTGTCAGCGCAAGCTGCTAGAAGAATTTTCATTGCATTCAAGTGAAGCAACATCTCGCAAGCCATTGTGTCAAAAAAAGTAATATTGGCAAGTGCTGCTGAAGCCAGAAGGAAAACTTCACCAGATGAGGCCTCTTGGCACAATTCTAGAAATGCAGAAAATAATTTAATTAATATAAATCAGTTACTCCTCAGCATGAAAAGATTTGTATAGGAGTTAAATATTCCTCTGAAATTAATATTAGACATTTCCACTTGCATTTTTGCAGACTGGACTGAAGCAGGTATAGATGGCAAGATAAATCTAGACTACAAGTCTCTGGGAGCATTCACTTAATTAGTGACCTAGGCTATCACACTTAACTTTCTCCATTGGATGTTGTTCAAGATAAATGTTATATTCCTAAACAAAATGAGATGCAGTCAGCAGATGGGTAAAACTAATGGATCCATGCAAATAAAATTCTGCAATTTATCTTACTGTTTCTAAAACTTTTTTATAATCTCAGACTACCCTGTATATTTTTAAATTTTGCAGACCTCTTAAAAAATGCTGCAGACACAGCTATTACCATCATAACCTCCTAAGTGCCTTTTAATTCCTGTACACATTTACTTGAACTAGGTCTGAGTCATCCAGCAATTTGATTTCAGTGCGTTTTAAAAATTAAAAATAAGAAGCGAGAGTCACTCAATTACTCAGCTATAAATATTACAAGGAAATTGATGACTGGATAGTGAAAAGGCTTTCCCAAATTTGAGTCATTCTATTCCTAAAGCTTATATTGCTTAGGCTTGGTGCATCTTATCATGCCTTATCTGATGATTTGGTGGTGGCAATAAAGGAAATAGCCCTGTCCTCAGTGACTCTGCCCTCAGGAACACAGATTCATTTTGGCATATTCCTGGCTGGCCATGATTGCTAGGCTTAAACACTGCTTGACGGGTAGCAAGCTAGCTCAACAAATGGAGTATAAATTGGAAATTGACAGCTGAGGAAGCTGGATTACCTTGCTCTTTATCCCCACATACTCATGCATTTCCCTCCCCTACCACCACCACCACCCTCCCAATGCACCCCCCCACCCACCCACCCCCCAACACACACACTGTACCAGTTCCAGGGCAAGTGTACTATGGGCTTCTAATCTTCAGACATGATGCTGAGGCCCAGTCTTGAAAAGTACACTGAACAGTAGAAAGTATCAAATAAGGTCTAGCAGATTTCGTACTCACTGGATTGGACAAGATAGTATGATTGCCATATCTGAGATCTAAAATAACTTTCCACATCTGGCATATTAAACCAACCCCAGGGACAGGTGTCTTTCAGCTTCCTCTGCTCAACAGGCCAACGTTTTGTAAGGACTGTTCACTTACAAATTCAACAAAATCCAAAGTCCAAAATACAACAGCTCTGATTGGAGCATCCTTGGGTGGTGCCCTGTAACTCCATTTCAGGCTGGGATTGGGCAAATTAGAGGTGGAATAGACTGGGTATTGATGACATACTGGGCACAAGAAGCAGCCCCCCTCAGAATGCCTAACACCGCCTCATTACAAAAGGGCTGCTGGGTAGAAGAGAGGTGTGTAGCATAGTGTGCCACAGCTGGGGAGGATCGGAGCACAGAGGTGCCTGTAGGCATAGTAGACCTACTTTTAATTAATGGAAATTGCAAGATGACAGTCTGCAGGGTAACAGTTGATGGTTAATAATTATATTCACAGGTTGAAACATTTTATTCAGTACTAAATCAGACTGTTAACTCCAGATTTGTGAGTGTTCTGTATTTACAACATCTGGGCAGTGGTAATGGTCATTTCATCCGTACAGTGTTTGTGAATGTGGAATGCCTGGGCAGAGTGGCAGCTAGGTGGATAGATCAAGGTTGATAAAAATATGGAGTGATTCTGATGTCGGTTTCATTCTATCCACTTGGACAGATTATGATGTACAGGCTTTTGTGAAGGAGTTGCAATGACTTCCAAGTATGGAATGTGACAGACCTGCTTAAGAGTATGTCACTTATCAGTAGCAGATAAAAGGTCCATTAGCCTAGTTGGTTGCTTGAGCTCAGTGGGATAGAGCAGAGACCTATGTATCTATTCTGCAGGTCTTGCATATGCAGTTAGCTGATGATTCTGGTATCTGTAAGTGTATGTAACTATGGATTGTTAAAGTATTTATATCTCTAATATGGAGGGAGTGGAGGAAGCACTTATTTGGCAGACTCTTGTACTGGAAGAGGCTAGAAAACAGCATTAAAAACTAAAGGTTACCCTACCTAGCAATGACTAAATACAGATATGAATGATGTCTCAGACCATAATACTAGCTTCTTAATTTACAAGAATGTTATCATTAACGCCAGATAAAGGCAAACCCCAGTCACGTGCTGTAGCAAATCATTGTTGACTGGAGGATGCATTTTGGTCTTCATCATTAAGTTGTACTTGTCACCACTACATTCCACCTCTTGCGTTAGCATGCACTGATATCCTAATGAAATGGCCACTTTTTAATGAACAAGAACAAGTCATACAGTAATTTTTGTATAAAGTATCATACAGTTGTAGAAAGCTAATGGGGTTGATTCTCCACTCACTTTCACCAGTTTTACACTGATAGCTCTTCACTGACTTCTGTATTGTTACTCCTGATTTATACCAGCGTAGGTGAGATGATAACCAGGCACATGGTTTTAGGCCTCAAATGGCTACTATTTTCACAAATAAATTGTATTTGAACTTTGGCTACAAGTCAAGAATGTTAGAACTATCGAAGAATTTCCAACTTCAGGATTTAAAACAACTGACCTATTCCACATAGATTTCTACTGTGGAACATTATAGTGGCAAGAAAGGCAAATACTCCTTCGAGAACATTGCTAATGGAGGAAAGTTTGTCTTTAATCATAAGTTTTTTTCTTCTTTTCCAGTGAGTCCAAGAAAGGCTTAAAACAAACCCTGTATACTTACTGACAAGTGCTGTGACAATTTCCTCCATATTCTCCAGAAAGCTGCTGAGATGCTGAGTGAAAGTGAGATGTGGAGATGTGATTTGTGCTATTACCGCTGCTGCTTCTGCACGAGTGGCTTCAGAATGGGTACTATCTGTGAGAATGTCAGCCAAGCACAATATCCCATCGACCTGTGGGGGAGGAGGGGGGAAACAGTTGGATACAGGCTAACCAATAAAGACAAATATTTTCACAGCCAAATTAGGATTTACATGTGTGCATTGTATACTACTTATAAAACTACTGAACTGATTTGTTTTCAAAATTGGCTTGAACCTTAGGACTCAATGACATATACCAAACAAAAAGCTAATAGATTCAGCCTTTTTAAAAATTGAGGGCAACATAAAAAAAATATGCTCAGAATACACAGGGGTTGGGGTGGGGAAAGTGTTTCTTCCCCATCCCCAAGCTTTTATAACTCAAAATGACTGAGTTGATTTTGCTCAAACATAACAAAAATGTTTTGGCAGAGACGAAGCATGGAAAATCCTACTCTAAATAAGAATTTGTTTGTCAAAGTGAACAGATATTATGTCACAGTCTCATCTAAGTAGGGTGACCAGATGTCCCATTTTTAAAGGGACAGTCCCGTTTTTTGGGATTTTTTCTTATATAGGCGCCTATTACCCTCTACCCCCTGTCCTGTTTTTTCACAGTTGCTATCTGGTCACCCTATATCTAAGTCCCTGTTTGCGCATGTCACTTCACTCAACTTACCCAATCTTGCAATGAGCTCCACATGGGTGGAACCTTGAGCCAATACAGGATGAAGGCCTGTCAGCCTCGAGCCATGACAGAAACAAGATTGTTGTAGACCAGCAGTTTCTGGGAAGCTAACACAAGTATAGCATAGGCACATGCTGTCTCAAACCAGAGCTATAGCTATTAGCCTCTTACAAGTTTTGAAAAGTAAAGCAAAACAAAGCAAAGATTTGTACATCCTTGTAGATCTGGAATGACTGATATCTTCAAATTATGTTCCTTTTAGCAGGCATAAACATACACACATACACACTCTGTGGTATAGTGTCTCCTGTTGCATTTCAGTGTGTAACAGGGCATGATGTAAAACAGCCAACACAATGTGACAGCTTATATTGTAAAAAAAAATAATACCTATTACCCAGATAACAACAGGTAAGAGTGATGAAAGACCTATGGACTATGTCATAATCAATGTATTTGTAGACCGGTACAATTTGTTTTCTGACTGTGCTACATATTCCTGAATAATTCACCACGTTGCCACGAGGTAGGTAGATGTGCTATTAAGGCCGTTCTACATGTGTGAACACAGAAATTGTACACAATGATCCAGATTTTGCTATCCATTAATCCATGTAAAACCAGAGGAATTCCATCAATCTCAGAGTTGCACACAAATCTCAGTAATTGACAGTAGAATTAGGCCCTACAGTTAAAAAGTATTACCCCTTTGGTAAGCTTTGTTTGGAAGCTCTTCTAAAATCTAATTTTTTTCTATTTGCTTCTTCCCATGATTTCTGTTCTCTATCAGCTCATGGTAGTTGGACAGATTTTATAACTCGCTTTTACAGACCTCCGTCCAGAAGGAAGATTCAGAGGAGAACCAATTTCTTGCTCAAAATTTAAGTGGAGCTGGAATCAGCATTATAAATAGAAGGGGTAGTTTATACAATACCCTGTACTAAATATTTGATATCTCCACTTTATGGGAAAGACCCCCTCTTTAATAGTCTCCCAAATATTGTGTGTGATCCAGATGCTTGTCAGCTCCCAGTTAGACTACTGCAGATTAGTACGACTGCCCTGAAGAAGCTTGTGCAGTAGCCTGCAGCACTCCTATTAACAAACAAAGGCAGATGTAAGCACATCATGCCAATACTTGGAACTCCAATGGCTGCCTAGTCCTTCCTGCACTGAATTTAAGATTCTAGTCTACAAGGCACTTGGCTGGGTCTAAGATACCTCAAAAATCTACCTTTTCATGACCCTCTAAGGCAGCTATGATCCAGAGAGACCCTTGCACTAGACTAGCTCCCGGATAAGACTCTGATATGTTGGGCTCTAATGCTGAAAATGCTCTAAGATTTTTAAAATTCTACCAGAGGACATTAGATTGAGTCCAAGCCTGACTATCAACGAGCTGAGTCCTGCATTTAGGCCTAAACATAAAGCCTCACCCCAGTGTAGCATCTTCTGGGAACAACCCACTGTTTCTAAAATTGAAGGAGAACGATAAGGGGGGGAAAGGGAAAAAAAGAAAGAAAAAACAAGTATAACCCTTCCTTTCCATCCTCCCAATCCGTATTTGTGAGAGATTGGGAGGACTCAGTTAATATCTTATGATCTTCCACTAATGTCTTCACTTCCTAGGTGATGATAAATTGTTAATTTTGGGGCAAAATGAGTCCCTGGGGGAGTCCTTTTATCGCTTTATTTTAAAATGTGTTGTGGAGCTCCTAGAGGAAATGACAGGAGCTTATTCTTATAAGCGTGTGGATAAATAGAACAAACCCACATCAAAAACAAACAAAGAGGCACACTAGCATCAAGGGAAGCTTTGGGAATGTTGCCATGTAGGGCACACTTAATGCTCTCTCTAATTATTAGGCGGTACTTGAAGACTGCACCAGAGAGGTGCCTTAGATTTTGGATGTGTTGTTCTTCTGATTAGTCCCTCAACAACCCAATTTAGCACTTTTCAGAGGTATCAAGGTGCAGAAAAGATCTGAGCATCCTGTAGCATAGTCAGGAAGAATCTAGCCCCACCAAACAATGCCAGGAATGGCTTCCTGAGTGTCCTATGAAGTTCTGAGGACTGGCCATATGTAGTAAAGCAGTCAAGGCAGAACAACCTACCTACCTTGGGCTTCTGGGGAACCTACATGGACTTGTCAAATGCATTCACCAATCAAGCAATTTAGGCTTGTGGAGCTGTCTCATTCTCTCCACCCAGTCAATGTTTCCTTAAACCTTGCGCATTTTTAATGTTCAGTCATTCATCTCTAAATGGTTTGTTTAAAGCTTCCCTTGTTCCCATTTTAGTTATTTATTAATATACAATGCCAGGTTACCTTAAATGTCCCCATGGGATATAAATTAAGTTGCATGGTAAGCAATGGCAATTTCTGTACTCTAGAAGATCTATCAGATTCCTGGGAACAGGAATTACTGCCTTGAATATCAGTCATTGGGATGTACTTTTTAAAGAGAAATATAAATATTCAACGGGATCCCTATTAACATCAGGAAATACAACCAAGGAAATAACATCTCTTTGGGTTTTTTCCTAGTGATTACAAATGGTGTTTCGACTAGATACTCAAAATAATGACAGGAAGAGATGAATTGCTTTTCAATGTTAAATTTTTTTTTACAAGCTTTCAACATTAATCTACCTAGAGCAAGATATTTTCCTTCTAGTTATGGCAGAATTCTAAACTTGAAACTGGGGATTCACAGAACTCATTTAGCTCCAAGGTGTATTAATAGAACTCTGTCAAAAATTAGTATGTCCTCACAAATTGATTTACTAGCCAATGTGTGCTAGACATCATCATGAGCAAAAAAACCCAACCTACTTTGTCATCCTGAAGCCTTCCAGTATCACACCTTGTTTGGGGTGAAAAAAATGCTAATAATGATAGTCAGTTGAAAACAAATTATATATATTTCAAGACATTCAAAAAATACTGCGGTAGGGACTTGCTCAAACATTAGGTAACAGGTTACACAGACTTTCACCTCTAAAGTCACTGGTTCAAACCAAACCTAGGTCAATAATGACCAAGGTCATGACCTGTTGACTGTTATTCAACTACCTATGCAGAAGGACTTCAGTGCAATTGTTAATAGAGAGGAATCCTCATTCCCAAAACTGCCATCACAACACATGGCACTAAATTGCACCCTTGCTGACAGTCTCAGCAGAAAGGCCCAGGACTGAATGGGGATGAATACCTTGAATGAGAGTGAACCTCCCAGCTGCTGCTTGTGCATACTTTATGAATAAAGGATTTGTTTCCTGTTGTTTCATTCTAATAACTTTCCTGAGCACAATGTACATTTTAAAAGAAAAATAAATTCATATACTCAAATATGTTGAGATCTCAGGTTACATATAAACAGCAAAGCCGTATGAAAATCATTTAGAAAACTGACTCAGAAGAGCTAAAATAGAACTAAATACACAACATCAATCCACATAGAACTGCTGCTTAGAATATACATATAGTTACATAATTTACACTGTAAATGCATACAGATGCAATGCATGAGCATGCAGTGAACACAACTGCAAGGGAGTGTTTATTTTCACCACTGAGGAGAGAGACACAGACAGACAGACAGGACCATGCATGAGTTATCAGACATCTCCATTCATGAAGAGACAGAATTCACAGGCAAGTAGGGATTATAAAGCTATATTATCAAGAAGATCTGGCCACCTCTCAGAAAGCTGTGACAGAACTGTAGCCTCTCAATGCTGGCTTCCCTGTAATAATTGGACTAAATAATAAAGCGCCAAAAATTTGAACCATGGATGCCTAGATATCAATTTAGAGCCTACCTTTAAACACTCAGGTTTGAAAAATATGGCTATATACACATCAGAATGGCATTGTAAGGATTAATTAGTGTCTATACTATGCACTGAAGTATTATTAACCACTAATTTCTATTTTCCCTAAGTAAAATTCAGAATAAAACTCACTATAACCAGAGTTTCAAAATAATCAGTCTACCTCTTTCATGGTTCCACTTTTCAATTCTCCCCCATTGTTTCTGAACAGCCAGGCTTCCCATCATCAACTGTGGCTGTCAGGAACTGCAGCAGGATCTGTCTTTGCCCCTGCTACTGTGTGGCCTTCAAAAGGTATGTCTTTGCACCATGCAATTGCAGATGGACTCCACATACCCACAAGAGTTGCAGGGCTCTAACAGGACTCATTTTCTTTCCCCTGCCTCTCATTGCTCTGAGAGTGAGTAGAAAGGGGAATATGTAAAGTCCCTATTTCCATTTTATTGCTTTACTCAGAGCCATGGCCACAGATCTCAGAGACCCAACACTTTCTGTGCTCAAGGGCTGGCAAGTCCAGGTATCCAGAAGAATGAACCACAAACACCAGAGCCTAGCTACTTATAC